AATGAATGAATGGAATTCCAAAATCTCTGTAGATGTTCATTGAAATGAAAAAGAAATAAATTAAAATATATTTTTAAAAAAACCCACACAAAAAACCCACTCAAAATAAATCTACCATGGTAAAGTTAATACTGATTCTTAGTCCTCTAGGACAGAGTAGAATTGCCCCATAGCTGTTTCCAAGCCTGTAAATCTTTACAGGAATGGATTGCTACATCTCTCTCTTGAAGCAGCTGGTGGGTTTGAATCTGCGCCACCAGGGTTTCTAGCATTACCATGACTGCAGATTCCTTGAAAGCTGCATGCTTTCCTGAGTTTGGGAGGAGGTAGTTGGTATCAGTGAGGAAGCAGGTGTCTCAAGATATCTGTGGCTCAGCAGAGACAAAAGGGGCATCTGAAGAGATTCAAGGAACAATTCTCTTAAAACTGTATCTGATCATATGACACTTCTACATAAAACCTTCAGTCTCTCCTCATTTATGTCCTTTAGACTGTAACTTCATCTTTGTTTCCAGTGGCCTCTCTTTCTCATGTCCTCTACTCTGGGCAATACTAAAACTGCTCCCTGGTGGCCTGGTGGTAAGAAACTGCACTGCAATCTCAAAAGCACATAATTCTAATCTACCAGCTACTCTTCGGGAGAAGGGTGGACAATCTCTGTCTCTGATTAACCCACTAGAGGGTCAGCTATGGGTTGATTCTGACTCCATGGTACCCCACAACAACAATAAAACTGTTCCTAGATTGAATATGAGGCCGATCACTAAAAACTCACAAGCTCCTTAGGTATTATTTGTATGGTAACAGTCCACAATAAGAGCTGCATAGTAAAGTGAACTGTGGTGGGGATGAAGAATTGTACAACAATGCAAGATTTTTCCCCCCCAAAGAAAAAAGTGAACAAGAGGGGGGGGCAGGGAGGAAAATGTGCAACAATGAATGAATGGAAATACAAATTCTCTATATTTTCATTAAAATCTAAAAAAAAACCCCAAAACCCCAACAAAAACTAGTGTTAGGATGCCTAGAGAAGTCAGAGATAAGAATATTTCCCAAGAGTGAGGAGATGGCCCAGACACACTTATTTGACCCTGTCTAAATCCCCTATGTCTGAAAATGCAAAAAAAATCCCACGTACAAAAAGCCATATAATAGAAACTTATTATTTTGGGATTAGTCAAGGAGATGGTTATTCTAAATTAGAAACTAACTATATAGTTTTGTATTAATTGATAATGTAAACTCATATATAAATGCATAATCTTTTGCCTGGAGGGACCAATAGTTGGAGGACATCATTCTTGGAGGTGGAGGGGAAAACCCTGGAAGAAATGGATTGACACAGTGACTGAGGTAATGGGGACAAGTGTGTCGGAGACTAAGACTGGCTCAGGATAGAGAGGGTTCAGATCTTCTGTTCGTAGGGTCACTATGAGTTGCCTTTGACTCAATAGCACATGACAACAGTAACAGTCTTTTGACCTAATGATACTGAAGACTTCTGGATGAGTTCATGTGTAAGGGAACTTAGTCCATAAGGCACTGGGCTGCTAACCAAAAGACTGCTTGGGTGGTTCAAACCCATCAGTGGCTCTTTTACCATTGTGATTTACAGCTTTGGAAACCTGATGGAGGGTCAGTATGGATTGACACCAAATTGATGACAGTGACATAAATGTCACATATCTGGAGATGTTTTATAAGAGGCTCTAATCTGCTGAGTCACCTGAATATCTTCCTTGCAAGCATATTTCATTAACAACAGGCAAGCAACTTTATCTAATGTCTATAGTTACAAAAGACCGTCATCATTGCCCCTGAGTCAGTATCCTTCCTCTTCATAGAGAAAAGGCCTGATTCCATCTCATGCAGAATTGTGTACTATCCTAAATGAAATGAACCACTTACATATTACCTGGAGAGAATTAAGTAACAACTTTTTGGCTATTTTGACCAAACACCGTTAAAGAAAAGTCCTAGACTTGAGTACCTCGTTAGTATAAGATCCTACAACCATTTACGGAAGCTCTGGTGCCTTAGTGAACAAGGAGTTGCACTGCTAACTCAAAGGCAAGTGACTCAACTTCACCTCTTGCTCCTCAGAAAAAAGATGGGCAATCACCTCTTGTGTGATTTATAGCCTCCGAAAACCCTCTGGATGGTCAGACTGGAGCTGGTTCCAACTTGACAGCAATGAGTTTGTGAGTTTAGTTAAAACCATTTAGACTCCTTGTAACTTGCTTTATGAAGAGGTATGTAGCATCAGGATTGGAGGAAGACTCATTTACAACCTACGATACGCAGATGGCTCAACCTTTTTTACTGAAACTGAGGCAAACCTAAAGTGCTTGCTGCAGAAAGTCAAGGATTGTAGTCTTTAATATGAATTGAAGCTCAACATCAAGAAGACAAAGATTTTCACCACTGGGCCAATTGACAACACCATGATGGGCAGAGTAGAGACTGAGGTTGTTAACAACTACAGCATGCTTGGCTCCACAATCAACAGTCTTGGCACCAGCAGTTAGGAAGTCAAAAGATAAATAGCATTAGGTAAATCTGCTCTCAGGGACCTTTCCAGAGTATTGAGAAGCAACGATGTCAGTCTAGAGACTAAGGTGCAACTGATCCAGTCCATGGTCTTCGCAATTACTTGCTATGCATCAGAGAGCTGGTTAATGACAATGGATAATAGAAGAATTGATGCTTTTGAGTTGTGTTGCTGGAGAAGAGTCTTGAACATACCATGGACCACCAAGAAACCAAATAGGTCTTTCTTGGAGAGTATGAAACCAAGTCTCTCCTTGGAGGCTTGGATTTTGAAGCTCCTTCTCACATACTTGAGGCATGTAGCCAGGAGGAACCAATCCTTGGAGAAGGATATCACGCTTGAATGGGTGGAAGGACAGCATCGGAGAGGAAGATCCCAAATGAGATGGATTGATACAGTAAATAGGGCAATGGGAGTAGGCATATCTGAGTCAGTGAAATTGGCTCAGAGTAAGACAGGCTTCAGAACTGTTGTACATAGGGTCATCATGAATCACAGGCAACTTGACGGCACATAACAACAACAACAGTAACAGCAACAACAATAATATAGCTAAGCTCTCTCTGATTGCTGTCCAGTTGGAACCAACTTGTAGCTGACTATCCATTGAGTTTCTGAGGCTGTAAATACAGTGGGAAGATGTTGCCCATTTCTTTTCCTTTGGAATGGGCCTTGGTGCATTTGAACCACCAGAACGGCAGGGCCTCTGAGTTGACAACTCAACTCCCTACAGACTTATGCCACCAGAACTCCTTACCTCATCAGTGGAGTTAATTATCCGTAGGAGTCCATGCTCTAACATACG